TCGTGACCGATATACAGTCCCAACCGACACCAATCAAAAAAATAGCGCCGATCCCGGGATTGGAGTGGGTGAACGATGATCCGGCCTCTGTCACACTGAGCCCCCTGTTCACCACCGAGACCCGGCAGAGTTCGGTTTTTATACTCTTTTTCTTGCCCGCGGCAGAGTCCCTTTGTCCCCTCCTGGAGTTCTTCATATTCATGCTGTGTCTATTCACTGTCCTGTGCTGGACAAAGGCACGTCCGGGAATCGATGTGTATCTGTCTCCAGTTCCCGGAATCCTTCATTCAGATGTATGTTCCTTGATGGTCCTGTCTGTCTGAGGTGGACATCTACACGGCCCATCATCGCCGGGTTCTCGTGATGGTGCCATCAGAGAGTGCCCATCTCCTGTGCGAGCTGGGTTTTCCTTGTTTGTTAATGATGTACTTCCTTCCTGGCTGCGAGCTGTCCTGCATGGCAATCACCCCCTCCCCTCAGCTGGCATGATCTTACAGTTTTACTTTATATCACATTAATAAAATTATATTTCCAGCACAAATTATCCCCTTATCTCTAACACTGTGGTTCCAATCCTGGATGAAGAGAGTTGGCTGAGCACTGCTGTCTTCTGTCTTGTCAGTTAGGCTTGTGTTTGGAGACAAATTCTAGGAGAAAAACGCGCTAAAATGAGTGTTTTTCTCTAAAGCGAGAGGGCTTTAACAATTCAATTTTCTTCTGCCAATGAGAGAAATGGATAATTAATTTCCCTCCATTCCCAAGTTAGAGCCTGCTTTGTTCTGTTCCCGGGTCACATCTCACAGCAACCATTTTGGGAGATACACCTTTCATGGGGGCACTGGCACTGTGCCAGAGTCAATCCATGACAGGGATGAAAGTGAAAAAATAAAACAAAGTAAAACTGTTTATTAACAAAGCAAAATACCCAGAAAGCACAGGAAAAAAACCAAAATTGAACCTTACACCCCAGCCTCACCTCGCCATGTGGCTGAGAAGCAAAGATGGCAGCTGCCTGTCTTTATGAGGGGAGGAGAACAGAGCTCACAGCAGCTGAGACCTGTTGGGTTTCTGGCATGAGTGTTCTCCTTGCAGCAGCCGAAGTTGGTGAAGTTTTATGTCTCTTCTTTTCTGGCTCAGTCTTTCTGAGAGGCCAGAGCTGCCCTGCAGGCTCCCTGGGCTGGAGAAAAAAAAAAAAAAACAAACAAAAAAACCCACCCCAAACTAAACCAAAAACAAAAAAAAAAAAACAAACCAAAAAAAAAAAAAAAAAAACCAAACCAAAACAAACAACAAAAACAAAAAAACCCCACAACAAAAACCAAAACCGAAAAAACCAAAAAACAAATAAGACCAAAACAACAAAAAACACTGCCAAAAAGATTTACAAGGGAAGAGTCTCCAGGCCAGGGGAAGGGAAATAAAACAAACAAAAAACCCCAGAAGCTTCTTGCCTAAATTGGCAAAAATTAATCCAGGGGAAAAAAACCCAAAAACCAGCAACGAAGTAAGAATCATTGCAGCCCCCAGCCATGCCAGATAGAGCTTGAACAGGGCCCGCACAGGATCCCAAGGCTCCCAGCCCAACCCCCCCGGCTCCATTGGAAAGCTACAGCAGTCATTTTCTGGGCATAAAGCAGGCAGTTAGGAAATAAAGAACCATCATAATATCACCCCAAGACAGTTTCCCCGCACACCATCAAATCCTCTTGGGACACAGGATGGGAAAACAGCTCACACAGGCTACCTTTGCAAAGTGGTGACTGAGCAGTTTGAAGCTCTGGTGGGTACAGCTGTGGGGAAAGGGAACTGCCACCCAGCACCAACCCCAGTTTTCTAATTCCCTGGCCTCTTTTCTCCCAACACATGTGGTCTTTTCCTGGAATTCCCCTTGAGTATCCCGTAATACTCCAACCTTGCCTGTAAAAACCCTAGTCTAGGCTTGGATGGAAAAATAGTTTATAGATTTGTTCAATGAACGGGTGACTGTATCACAGCCAGTAGTTCTTGATCCTTCAACAACGATAAGCACACTGCTTTGTGAAGCCGTGTCCGTCCGCATATCCTTTCAGGACAGTCCTGGCTAGCACTGGCACAACTAGCAGCAGGGGGACACCCTCCTGCTCCTCATGGGCCAGGAGAGCAGTTATGGCTTTCACCTGTGCAGAAGGAGAGATACTGGGCAGCAGCAGCAGGAGTAAGGAGAGTGGACTGCAGCTGGGGGCAGCAATCCAGGTTTATTGATTCTTCAAAAGGGACCTCACCCCAGGGGAGCCAACCGGCTGAAGACCCCGAGATGGGGCTTGCAAGGGTTATAAGGAGGGGAGGAAATAGGGGAGGAGTTGATCGTCAGGCCAGTGGGAGCGCAGGGTGTTTCCTGGGCCATCCTGGAGAAGGGTGCTACATCCATCCATCCCTTTGCTAATTAGGTCTTTCTCCCTGCTGCGGTTTCGCAATGGCATGCTGCAGTCTTGTGTATGAGGCAATCCCTCGGCTCCCGCATGTGGATTTAAAAATGCTTTTGAGTATTTCTTCCAAACATGATAACATATATTCCCTTCATATTCTACATAAGCACAAATTACCTAAATCACCACCAGGGCAAGCAACAGCCGAGCTGACCACATGGCTCCATACGGGCAGACACTGAAGAGAAGCCTCTGCAGCCGGTTCTCCCGGGCCAGCCCTGCTGGGTGCCACTGCTCCTGGCACACCCAGGTTGCCATGGGTAGCCCTGTACAGGTGAGCCCACAGCACTGGGGCCCCCACTAAGAGGCACCGATCACCAGTTGTGCCACGTGCAACCGTTCCCTGCACCCCCATGCCACCTCCCCTTCCCCACCAAGGTGGCAGTGCCAGGGACAACAGTGCTGGGCTTCAGTGCCCCGGTCCCACGGCTTTATGCTGCTGGATGCCGTAGGGAAGCCAGTATGGCCGAGTACGCCCTCCCTGCGTCTGCTCGGCTTTGTGCTGGTGAGTTGCTGAGAAGCCCCTGCACCAGCGACCTCCGCAGTTTCTGAGACTCTGGTACACCCAAGCCACCTCCTGACCCCAGCGGCCGCACTGCTGCCACCAAGCCAGAGCCCTGCACTGTCTGAGACCCCAGCACAACCCAGCTAGCTCCTGACGCCTCCGGCGGCCGTGCCGCCACCACTGAGCTAGCGAACCAAGTGGTTTATAAGACCCTCGGACAACCTGACCCTTAGACTGGGACAGCGAAAACTGGAAGTTACTGTGCTGTGTCCCCTCTGGCTGCCACTCAAATGGACCAGGTCCCACTGGCATTTTTCCACTTGGGAAACACCGGTCTGCAGCTCCCACTTGGGAAACCTTGCAGGATCCTCCAAGCGACGGCTTTTCTGCACTGGGTCAGCCCCCAATCTTCAGCGGCGCCACGCACGAACCACGCCTAGCACGGCCGCCATCGCCTCTGTCCCCGGTGAGTTGGTAGGCATCAAGAGCTGCTGTACCAGGTCCCCACACGGGTTCCCGCCTAAGGCCTCCAAGACCCTGCACAACCGAGCCTGTCTCTGACCTTCGGCAGCGCCACCGCTGCTTCCTCTGGGCCCGCGAGTGTTGGGGGTTGCTGTGCCAGGTCCCAGCTTGCTGCTACCCACATGGCCTCCCGATGCAGTTTCTGAGACCCTGCCGCTCACACAAGTACAGTCAAACATCCCCTAAATTTGATAACCCTCAACCTGGCACCCCCAGGTGTTCTTGAGCCCCCCAAAATCTCCGATCAGATAGCCAGAGCCATCAGGAGCACACATCTCAATGCCAGGTTCCAGTAACTCAATGATTGAGTTCAATTACTCAGTTGCTTCCTGGACACGGTTTTGTTCAGCTCAACACAGAGAAAAGAAACTGCATGAATATGTGAAGCCATGAAAAGAAGAAAAGAGACTCTGCCTCAGGCAGAATAAACTGTATAAAACTACCCGGACAGGGACAGCCTTCACGAACAGAGGGGGTCCGATGCGATAGAGATCGGACCGGTGTTCACCCAGCGCCGAACCTGGGGACAATGCTGTCCCTTTGATTGTGGCTGTCGAGACTGTATATCGGTCGCAAAATAAATTCTATTTTTTTATTTGATTATTAAATTGGATTGATCAATTTTTACCCATAACACTGGGAATGGGGGGCCTGAGCACTGAGCTGCGGAGGCTTCCCCACAACCTGTTAGCATAAAGCCACACGAGCAGAGGACCACGTGAGTGGCTCAGCAGCTGCTTTTGCTGGTGTGCCATGGGCGCCAAGCCAAGGTGGGAGAGGAGCGGCAGAACCGACCCAGTGGCACAGGGGTCCCCGGACTGTAAGGGGGTTTTTTATTTGCTTTTGTTTTTCAAAAAGGTAAAGCTTCTTCTTTCTTTGTCCTTCCTTCCTTCCTTCCTTCCTTCCTTCCTTCCTTCCTCCCTCCCGGGAAGGTGGGCCTTGTTGAGAGGGCCTGTAGTTGACTGTCAGGATGGGATTGGGAGCCAGTAGAGAATCCCCGATGGGTGAAGGAAGAAGTGAAGAGATACCAATAGATGTACCCACAGATAGCCCACTGAGAAAGAAACTAGCCTAGTGGAATTATGACCCTAGCTCCAGAGATAAGGAAAAGTACATGGCAGTTTAGTTTCCTGCTCCGAGCGCTGTAATTTTTCCTTATTCATGTGAGAAATGGCACTCCTAAAATGTCAAATGTTTATTAAACCTTAACAAAAAATACAACAAAGGACTGAATAAGGAAAAATTACAGTGCTGGGAGTCTCCGTAACTAGCAGTCACATGCTTGTTTTCAAAATGGATGCTCTGCCTTTTATACTCTTAGCACTTCCCAACATTTTGTCAATCAACTCTTTCTCTGGAGATTCATGGAGATTACTTTCTTACGTCTTGGCTGGAGGCCAGCTCATGTTGTCATGTTGCGCCTCCTGGTAACAAGGCAGCGCTCCCAAATGCCCTCACTACCAAGGCTATTACAAGGGGGACAGAAAAGAAGACTATGGGAGGACATATTACAGTAATTTCACTACACATTTACAAGACGTTTCTTAACATACACATAATATCCATCTCTTAATTGTGAGAACCAACCATCACATTATTCATTTATAACATTCTGTCTTCTGTATTTTTGTTAAGGTTTAATAAACCTTTGTAATTTTAAAAGTAAGCAGAGTTTCTCACATCAGGATCCATGTGGTTGCTGTGAATGGGGATCTTCCATTTTGTTCCATGAGCAATCCTGCTGCAGTTTGGTTTGAAGAGAGAATCCTGAGTGGACAGGGAAGAAAGAGACAGTAATCTTAGCTTTTTTATACATAAATAAAGGTTACACGGCAATTGTAAGCTTCGTGAGCCTTCTGATAATACATGAATACCAGAAAAATTAATCGACAAACACCAGAGGTTTATGTCCAAAATGGAGACAGAGGAGTCCTTTTACTTTATTTGAATAAAGGGAGAGGCCATGGGGCATTCCCCATGAGGTCTCTCAAAATTTTTGGAGGACACAGCCTCTTTTTATCCTAATTTTCTGGCCACATTTCCCCTCTCTCTTTCCCCATTGGCTGAGATACTTGAGAGGTACAGACTTCCCAAAATGCTTAATACCCCCTTCTAATGTAAACCACCCCCCACCCATCAATGTGTTCGCGGGTCCCAGCATGAGGGAAGAGATGAATCTGACTCCATATTTCATAGAAGGCTGTTTTATTATATTATGGTATTATATTATATTAAAAATGCTATAGTAAAGCTATACTAACAAGAATAGAAGAAAGGATTTCATTAGAAGGCTAGGAAAGGAATGAATAATCAAAACTCGTGACAGACTCAGAGTCCGACACAGCTGGCTGTGATTGGTCATTAAGTAAAAACAATTCACATGAGACCAATCAAAGACACATCTGTCGGTAAACCATCTCCAGACCACATTCCAAAGCAATCAGATAGGTGATTGTTTACATTTCTTTTCTGAGGCTTCTCAGGAGAAAATCCTAGCGAAAAGATTTTTCATAAAAATATCATGGTGAAACCCCCCCCCCCCCCCTTTTTCTTTTTCTTTGTTTCTCTGTTGTTTCTCTCTAAATCCAGAGATGTAGCAGTCTTGGGTGAGTAACAGTCTGTGTCAATAAGTGGAATTCCTGTGGAATGTATGGTTCTTTCACCTCTCTGTATCTAGCCTTATCTACCATCAGGCACACAGTTTGTTTGTAAAAATACCTCCTTCTCATTCCTTTCATGGATCCATACAGGGTGAACTGCAGAGAGGCAGCACAGCTGCAGCTGGCAGCCCTGAGGCCACTCTCAGTGGTTTTGAGGTCAAAAAAGGGAAAGGTGGCTCTCCATGGGCTGCTATAGGTGAACTTCAACTTCCCTTGCTCTGGTGCTGTCAAGCAAAATGTATGAGGTTGGAAGGAGTTTTTACTCCTCTGATCTAGCAGGTAAGGGGCCGAGAGGAAGATGTAGACTGTGATTTGGGGAATGGGGGATCCATGAGCCAGCTTTGCAGTTTCACCTCTGCACATGTGGCCGTTGGCTCTGAGACTCTCTTGTGAAACAAATTGTTGGAGGTTAGGATTGCTCCTTTTGTTTTCTTTCTCTCAGGGATTTTTTTCCCATATGTTGCTAGGAGACAAAACTGACTGGTACTTAAGAGAGAAAAAGAAATTGCCATGATGCAGGGTGTCATAGGTAAAGATTGACCCAGCCAATTTAAATAAAAATAAAAAGTAAATTTATTTGCAACCGATATACAGTCCCAACAGCCAACAATCAAGGACAGCACCGACCCTGGGATCAGAGCTGGGTGAACTCAGGTCCTGCCCCTATTGCACTGAATCCCCTGTGATCACAAATGCCACTTGGCAGAGTCTGGTTTTTATACTCTTTTTCTTGCCTGCGGCAGAGTCCCTTTGTCCTTTCTTGGAGTTCTTCATATTCACGCTGTGTCTATTCCCTGTTCTGCTCTGGACAAAGCCTTGTCCAGGAACTGATGTGTATCTGCTCCTGGGTTCCGGAATCCCGCATTCAGATGTATGTCCTTGAAGGTTCTGTCTGTCTGAGAAGTACATCTCCATGAGCCACCAGGCATTCACACCAGTGAGAACACCCATCTCCTGTGCGGGCTAGGTCCACTTCCTATGGTAATGACACACCTCCTGCTCAGCTGCCAGCTGGCTTTCGCCATCCTGTGAAGCAATCCCCTTTTCCCTCGCTGGTGTGATTTTAAAGATTTCTATTTTATTCTTATATCCATATTCTATCAGCACGAATTACCATCATATCCATAACACAGGGGAAAGGGGTCTGGCTACTCTCTGAACTGAGGGGTTTCTTTTGGGTGGGCAGAGATAGCGAGAGGTTTGGGCAGGGGGAAGGGGCTGGGCACTCTCTCTCAGCATCAGGGGGGAGACAGGCTGTGGTTGCTGTGGGGAGAATTCCCCACTGCTGTCAGGCTCCATTTCCTGCTGTCTTCTCCTACCACGAGTGAAGCTCTGCTTGTGGGAGTGGCTGCACTGGGACCTTGTTAACACCCTACCTCACTGTGAAAAATGTGTGTTTTATGATTGGCTTTTCACAAATATTAAAATGAATCTTATACATGTTATGTTAGAAAGTTATGCTGCATTAATTTTTTTAAGTAGTGTGTTAAATACAGTTTTAGGTTACAACATAATGTTAAAATAGAAATTTTGTATGTGGGATATTTTTTTAAAGAATGGAATGAGATACTTGCACCAGATAGCAGCCACAGGACGCCTAAATCTTTCAGAGAAAGAGAGTTTTTTAAGAAACTAACTTCTTCCGGCCTCTCTCAGCCCTGAAGACACCATTAGGATTAAGAAGATTACACTGACCAGACAAAATCCTGTGTTTGAATGGAATTTATGCATCATGTATGAGGTGTATGAATATGCAACAGGCTGTTGTTTTTAAGGGTTAATCCTCTGTTAATGTGTGTCCCTTTTTGGGCTTATTTTGCCCAGAAAGAGGTACCTGGACTGTCCGTAATTCTTTGTTTTTTATTGTCTCATATTGTCCTAACCTCAATTGTTCAAATTTTTATTACTCTAATTATATTACTATTTGTATAACCATTTTATTACGATTAAACTTTTAAAATTTTAAAAACAAATGATTGGCGTTTTTCACAGTCACTAAAAAAGAACCTTCACCATCTGCTCCAGTGCCTCAGGGGAAGCCCTGGGACCCCGAGCCCTTTCCCTGTCCGAGGGAAGGTCTCCAGCCATGTTCAGGAACCAGGCTGCTTTCTGCCACTGCTCCGAGTTTTTGCTGCACTGTAGCCCCGCAGCCCTGCCTGCCGTGATGCCCTGTGGCTGCGGCTGCGGAATTTTCTCTTACATTTTGTCACCCTGGGTGTGCCCGCCTCTGCCGTTCCAGCTGCTTCCAAGGTTCTGCTGCAGTCCGTGTCGCCGTGCGGAGGTGCAGCGGCACCGGCTGTCCCTGAGGGCTCCACAGGAAGCCCCTTCTCCCTCCCTCCCGCCGGCCGCCCGCCAGTGCCGTGTGCAGAGGGGGCCGAGCTCGCGCCACAGCGCCCCCTGCAGCCGCGGGGGAATCATCGCCCGCCCCGCCCGGCGGGAGCCAGCAGCGCCCCTGCTGGCTGCGCCCGGAACTGCAGGGCAGGGGAAGGCGCCTGCAGCGGGAGAAGGCGGCCCTGGGGCTCTGCGGCTGCTCCTCGCTGTGCCGGGGCTGCCGTTTGTCTGCCGTGTTATACACACACACGCTGGCAAGGAACCGCTGTTCCTGCTCTCATACCTTTGGCTGAAAGCCCTGCAATTTCAAAGTTGTAATAATTCAGAGGGAAGGGGGTCATATTCTGCTTTCCAAGGGAGGTTCCTGCCTCCCTTGGCAGACACCTGTCTTTTGGACTAAGACAAAAATGCACTTTCCACTCAGTCCTCTCCATCTGTGCTGCATTCTATCACTACCAGAAGCCTGACCAACTCAGATCTCTCTCTCTCTCTCTCTTTTTTTTTTTTTTTTTTTTTTTTTTTTTTTTTTTTTTTTTTTTCCTAAATTAGGGACCAAAAATTCATGGTATTGTGAAGGGATATGTCCTGCAAGGGCCTTGTTCTCCCCTTGGGGGCAGAACAAAGAGGAGGAAAAGATTTACATTAAAAGCACTGAGCAAATCTTTATTATGAAACTTACATCACTTGCTGTCAGCAGTCTCCATGCAGAGAATGTGCAGACTAGAAGTCTTCCTGCCAGGGAGGGGAGCAGGAATACAGTTTGCACTGTGATATATGGTGTTCCTTCAATGGATGGCAATATAAGAGGTTAAAAATTACTTTGCAGGCTCCTGTTTGTTTAGGTTAGCATCTTAGTGCTGCACTGAACAAGAAACAGTGCAGGCAAATGCTGAAGAAATTACCTGGAAACCTGGCCCCTGTGGAACAGCCCATAAGGAATCTGTGGTGACTTTAGCAGCAGTGCAGCTGCTGCAGTGCTTGCAGAAAGCAGAGAACACTGCAGAGAGGTGAACACATCGTGCCCCAGGGTGATACAGGCAGGCAGATGGTGCTGCTCCGCGGGTGAGGTAAAGGGGCCCATTGCCAGGGGCTCTCAGGACACCAGGCCCTTGTACCATCCCTAAACAGTGCTGTTGAGCAAGGCATTGCTCCCTGCAGAGTGCCCTGTGCTGCCTTCTCCACTGGCTGTCTTTCACAGAATCAGAAAGTAGTCGGAAAGGACTTTTTAAAGGCCTTTTATTCCAAGCCCCCTGAAATAAACAGGGACACTTTCCACTAGACAAGATTACTCCAAGCCCTATCCAATTTGGTCTTGAACATTTCCACAGGTGGGCTGCCACAGCTTCTCTGGGAAAATTGTTTTACTACCCTCATAGTAAAGAAATACTAAAAAAATACTTAAGAAATCTATTCTAACCCTGCTCTTTGGCAGGAAGCCATTCCACCTCGTCCTGTCCCTCATTCCATCCCTTGTCCCAAAGTCCCTCTTCAGCTTTCCTGCAGTCCCTTTAGGCACTGGAAGGGACTTCAAGGTCTCCCTGGAGCCTCCTCTCCTCCAGGTGAACACCCCCAGTTCTCCCAGCCCAGCTCGAGATCAGAGGGGCTCCAGCTTTGGGACCATCTCCATGGCGACTTCTGGACTCCCTCCAGCGGCTCCACATCCTTCTGATGTTGGCTCCCCAGGGCTGGAGGCAGCTCTGCAGGTGGGGTCTCACCTGAGTGGGCAGAGGGGCAGAATCCCCCCTCACATGCTGCCCAGAGTTTGAACCCAGGTAACCCATGTCGCTGTAGCAAGTACCATCAGCACCTGCAGACTAGTCAGTACTATGGGCCAGAGGAGCGGCAAGTGAACGCGGGATGGGAATAAAGATCGCGGGAAGAGGGAGACGCGGCCTGGGGAAACAGAGCTGGTGCTGTCACTGTCCCTTCCCAGCCACAGCCAGGCTGAGCCGCGGCTGCCGAGGCGCAGCAGCAGCGGGGCTTGAGGGCAGGGCAAGGCCAGGCCGGACAGCAGCAGAGCCCGCGCTGGCAGTGCAAGAGGAACCGGAGCCAGGCTAGCGGAACGGCACCGGCGGCTCCCGGTCACTGCCCACGGAGCTCGAGCTGGAGCGGCCCGCCAAGAGCTCCTTCCACCCGAGGGCCCGGGGGCAGTCAGTCCCGGTGCGCCGCACAGGCCTTTCCCAGGGCCGGGTGCAGCGCCCGGGGAACGGTGAGATGGCGGAGCCTCCGGGATCCGCGGGGAGCGCGGGGTACGGGCGAGGCTGGCGTGCGCGGCCCCTTTAAGAGCGAGAACACCGCGGCGGCGCCAGGCACAGCGGCGGCCGCTCTACGCATGCGCACAGCCTGTCCCTGCGACTTATTCGGTGCCGCCGGCACAGGAGTAGCGTGCAGGGGTGGGGAATCGCGCTATAGCGGGCTTGCGCATGCGCAGGGGACTGCCCCGCTGTGCGCTTTGTGGCGCTGCCGGAAGCGGGTGCGGGCCGAGGGCGGCTAGCGGCGCTCCCGGTCCCGTGTGGCCGCGGCCCTGTGGCGCCGGCGGCCTAAGGGAGTGGCGCGCCCCGACATGTCTGCCGGGCTCTCGGCGCAGGTAAGACGGCCAGGCTTCCCGCCACGACGCCGTCGGGCTCTGCCCGCTTCGCCGCCCGCGGGGCCTATGGTGCGGGCGCCGCCCGGAGCCTCCACCGCGCTGACCTCTGCGCTGCCGCGGCGGGGCCCGAGCGGGGCGGCGATGGGCGAGCCTGTCCCCGGGGCTCCCCCAGCGCCTCGCGCCTGGTTGGTGCCGCGGAGCCACCGCAGGGCTGGCGGGAGCGACTCTCGATGACCCCCCACGGCCCAGGGCCCCTCTCGGCCCCTGCTCCGGCCCGGGCGTCGAGCGGCGTTTCGGGAGGAGCGTGAGGTGGTACCCGCGTCCTTCCTCCCGTGTGGAACCTGCGAGCGGGAACTGGACCTGAGGGAGGAAAAAGTTCGTGTCGCTGTTTCCCCGCAGAGTCCGACCAACAGCCCGCTGGTGCCGAGCGTGCCTGGCTCAGGCCTCCCGGGGTCTGCAGGGATTCTGCTTTCCCTGCCTCATTTGGTTTCTGGGCCCAGTGCATAGTAGATCCTTTTTGTTTGACAAACGGGCTCAGTAGCGAGGCTTTTCCCCGGAGTAAGGGGGCTGTGCCTGCCGAGAGTCCTTCCTGCTTGAGCAGTTTGGGGACTTCACGAGAAACTGGACTGGTGAATAAGTGCCAATGTAAAAGAAACTGTTGAGTAAAAATTTTTCTCAGTCGACTGCACTCTGTGGTCAAGTTCATTAAATAGTTTTTCGCACAAATGAGGGGTTTGAAAACTTGCTAAATTCTCAGGTGACTCGCCTGGAAGTTAATTTTCTCAAACCTACTGTTAAAAATGAGAGTGACAGTGAGAAGCAGAGTAGTACTGATGTCTGAGTAATGATGCTTGAAAGCAGAATAATAACCAAAACATACAAAATGTTTTTGCTTTCCTATGGCTCTGCTCATCTTCACATGTAACAGTATGCAACCTGTAGGCAGTGACCTTCTCTCGAGCAAGTGCCCTGCCTCCTTCTTTGGCCAGGCTGTGTGCAGCAGTGTTCCCAGGAGCTAGAAGCGATGAGGTCCATGAACTGGGAGTGCTGGAGATAGTGAGACCGGAATCCTGTGGCCTAAATGGCACTTTGTGTTTGAGACCCAGCCTTCCCTGTGGCGCATTCATGTATTAAATTCTGCTGTAGAAATGCAATAAAATCTGACAAATTTGTCTTCTCAGGGCAAGGGTAGCTGTGATTCTCTTCTCTGACCCTTGGTAGTGCTGTGGCTGAATGGCTTGGGAAAGGATGACAGGAGTTTGTTTTTTTGTTTGCCTCTTCTCTTCTTGCCTTGAATATAGACTTTAAAAACAATTAATAGTAACCTTGACAAGCATATATTTTTAATTCTTTAACAGAATACTTAAAGTGGCAACTTTCTGCTGGTCTTTCTCTCAGTCTTCTATCATTTTTATTTTTTGCCTGCTCTGTGCTTTGGCTGTTGTCCTTTACACACAGTGCATGCCTTAGGCAGAGCTAACCTGTTAGGTGGCTCCAGAGGTGAGCTACCAGGAGGGCTGTGCTTCCTCAGGCCTGGTAGGCTTAATACCAGAGGTGCAGTTAGTCTCAGCTAGGTCTAACTCCTCTTGTCCAACATGAACTTGGAGGGCAGTGGGACAAGTGGGCATATAGCAGCTGTTCATGCTCAGAATGTCACATGACTGAGAAAAATTGCTCATAAATGTCTGGTTTGTGCTTTGGGGGAAGGTGGGTTGTGGCAGGATGGCTTTCTGGCAAGAATTGTTTCCTCTGGAGAGCAGATGTTAGTACTGTTAGGTAGCAGAGGTCATGTTAAACCAGAGGACTGTCTTTTTTTCCAGGGAAGTAAAGCATATGTGATATCCCAGAACTTTGATGTAGATGGTTTTTTCTCTGGTTTAGGCTCAATTAGGCCTTCAGCCTTCCGTGAGCCTATCTCTGCTGATGGTCTCTGTTTGCATTTCTTGTACTATCTGTTCTGTCTGGTCTGCTTTTTTGGTTCTAGTAAAAGCCAAGAAGGATCCAGTTTTGGGACAGCTTGTCTTTGTGCTTGAAGTTCTTTTGCATTGTAGGAAAATAGTTCATTTTACATCTGAAGCTGCTTAACACAAAAGACTAAATGTTCATGATTGCCCCCAGCACTTCCCTCACTCAGTGCACGTTTTCTGAGGAACTGCTCTGTACATGAGCATTGATTCCCTGACCTCTCTCCTGCACATGCTCCGAACACCTCAACTTCAGGCTTGGACCTCCTGCACATGCCTTCACAGTAACTGCAGAATGTGGCACTGTTTAGTTCTCACTGTCTAACTTCAGTGATCCAGGAGTTTAAATATGTTGGCTGCAGCTGTTCATATTAAATCTTTGGAAACTGGAAATAGAACTTTATTTTTTGAGTTTTATGGACTCGTTATTCTTTTGTGCTCACTGGCTTCTGCAGTGTTTGAGAACTGAGGATCTTGGGTCTTCAATGCTGAGACATCCACATTCTGTGGTTTATACGGTGATAACAACTGAAGTTCCTAAGGTGAAACCGATTGGGAGGAAATACATTGAAATCCAGATGATTTACCACACTAGGGAATATTGGAATTAATGCTCAGTTTCATAGTAAATGAATGTCTCCTTGCTTTTGCTAGTTTTAATGCTGGTGATTTCTTTCCAGGTTTGCCTGTGAGAGTGTGAGGATATTTTATTTAGTGCAGCCTCCAGGAACATACAGTGAACATATAGCATACAAGAGTGTGTAAAACTGATGGTGAAAAACAGAGGTTTATTTATTATTCTACTCACCCCTCCTCTTAATCACCTTTCTGAGTGTCTTCAGTGATTT